GGGTTCCTGATTGAAGAAAAAATGAAGTGTAAAATCTAATTGGGAAACATGTCTGCTTATGGTTAGCACAATTCGAAAATGTTACTTCTACTACTAATTTTAGACCAATTCATCTTTCTAACAATTTAACTCAATTGACTAAATTTATTTTTTTTAAAAAGTTTGTAAATATATATCTTCCATTTTGAAAATTTAACATCTGATTCGACATCAGCGACCTCAAAAACCCCTAGATACAAAATTTTTTAATATCACAAACGACTTGATCTAGCAAAGGGGCCGGACACGGGTATTTTTTTGGGTCCTAGTTTCCGAAAATGTTGAATTTTTTTGTGGGAAAAAAATCGTGTCGGACGGTGGTATATTCCCCTTAAAATATTAATTCTATATATTTTATTTGAATACAATTTACTATTTAACGAACATAATAATTATAAATTAAAAAAATATGTAAAATTTTTAATTTAAGAAAAAAATGTTATACATATTTGAATGCCGAGAGGTGCCCTCTCCAAACAAACAATAGGCGTGGCCTAATCGCTCGTTGCAAGAGTTTCACCGGGAAATCCGGTGAGGCTCATGCGATTGTACTGTGAATGTTTTCATGGGATTTTCCTGTGACATCATGCGTTTAAACCATGATGTTTATAGGAAAATCGCATGTTCATCATGTTTAATTCTTATAGATACTCTCACCCGAAAAACGTATGAATTTATGGTATTAATCTCATGCCTATATCGCTTGAAAAATTCCACCCGTTTAACGCATGGGTTTGTGCAGGAAAAAGCCATGATTTTTCTCTTCGTGTGTATTTTGAAAATGTAGAAAATGGGGAGTTGTGCCTCACATCAAATTGAACGGTTTTTAATTCTAATACGCAATCTCTATTTTTATTTCGCATTATTTATGAATAATAAGAATGTTTTATGCAATTTAAATATTTTTCTTTAGTAAAATGAGATTTTTTACATCTGTATTCTCTGTAAATGAAATTAATTACCTAGTTTAATTTAATTATTTTTAACATAATTGAATTTTATCTAAATTATCTAAAATAAATATTATATTATTTTATCTTTTACTTTATTTTATATAAGTTATCTTACTTTTTCACATTTCATAATTTAAGGGTAAAACTCGTGTAAAAAAATTTTTTTTTCCATTTTTTTTTTTTTTTAAAAATTAGTTTACTATCTGTAGAGCAAGATTCTACATTACTAATCTATAATTAGATGTATGAATGTCTATAGTATATATATATATAAGTTTAGCACTTCAGATGCTACCAAATGCAGTTAACGATAAGCACGAGATCTCTCTATTCTTTGGTTTCTTATCAATATAATTTTATTAATTGTCAGTAGCAAGTACTATTAGCAAGTGATAGTAAATATTGGTCTTAGTGCGCAAAACCAAAGATCCGCCTGTAACGCCGCCATTTTGCAATATTTAAAATTTTTTAAATTATTATACAAAGCTCATATTGTACACTTTAAAGTATGCTTTACTTCAATTCAATAAACTTTACTACTTTACTGTAAAAAAATCTTGAAAAACGTGCATTTATACGAGTTTCCCCTATTAAATAAAAAATATTGGAAAAAATATGTTCTTTTTCTTCAATTTTCAACGGTGGAGCACAACTTCCGACTGTTTTTGAAAAGTCATAAAAGTCGTTTTTGAAAAACAAAACCCAGAGCACAACTCCCCACTCTCCCCTAATAATGACTGCAATAAACCTACGAAATTCCAGGACAATACGTCAAAACGTATCTAACAATGAGACATTTGTACACAATATTTTGTGACATACACTTACACACATGCATACAAAAATAAATTTGGACATTTGCTCAGAACTTCATATTATATATTTATTATTAATGAAAATGAGTCCATATTAGGGTGGTCCACAAAAAATTGAAATACTAAAAATTTAATAGAACACCCCCAGAATTGTTCTATATTGAAAATAAAGAGACACGTATTTTTTTATATTGAAATCGGTTAATATTTAATGGCGCCACTCTGCCCTTGAAGTTTCCCAAGCATTTTACATGGAAAAAATTCAGTTTTTAATAAAAGTGATATAAAATTGCTGAAAAATTTTTCAATCGGCATAGAATATTTCTCTTCAAAAATATCTAAACTATAGAGTCCTGATAATTGCACAGGTCTACAAGGATTTTGTTTGAGATATCAGAGTGGTTTTCAATGTATTTTTGTGTGCTGAACACGATTCTGGGTTCCAAAATTGCGTATCACGTCAGGATTTTGAGTAAAGTGGGGGTAAATTCTCCAAAAAACGGGTTTTTTAAAGTTTTCAGTATTTTTTTTCTCCTTAACCTGACGTGATAAAGTCCTAAAGTGTACGATCTAAGCTTTAATTTAAGCCTATATATAAAACTGTCTACCAAGTTGGGTTAAGAAAAAAAAATGAAAACCCACAAGAACACGGTTTTTGGAGACTTTACCCCTACTTTACTCAAAATCCTGACGTGATAAGCAATTTTGGAACTCTAAATCGTGTTCAGCTCACAAAAATACATTGGAAAATACTCCCAGATATAAAAGAGTCTTTTTTTGTAGACCTGTGTTATTTATTGTAAAATTTATAATTTTATATTAACCCCTTCAAAATTTTGTCAAAATGTCGTTCTTGGGTAAAAATCAATTTTGGGACAAAAACAGTAACAAAAGAAAATAGAGTTTAAAATCGAAATACGACTTAAAGGAATTAAATGTTATTGAGGTCGCTGAATCCAAAATTCATGTCAGATTTTAAAAATAAGGTAAAATGGATAAAGTACCGAATAAGGTCCCCCTTGGATTTTAAAGAAACTTTGTGCGCTGATTACGAAAATCATAATGAAAATTGGCGCAAACTTGATTATCATGGTGAAAACCATAAAAAACATAAAAAATCACAGTTTTTCACGATTATCTTATAAAAATCAAAAAATTTCGAAAAAAGTTGTAGATGTAGGGGGTGGATATGGCCGAAAGTATTTTGCGGAATTCGTTGGATCCTGAGTAATGGTGAATATGATACTATATACGAGTCAAATAATATGTCTAACCATGATTTTTGTATATGTTTTCATTATCATGGTGTTTTTGGATTTCTGGATTTTTCTCGAAAAATAATGACTTTTGGTAAAAAATGCATAAAACATAAAATGTGTGTTTTTTAGAGATCTACAATTTTTGTCTAAAACTTTTTTCGAAATTTTTTGATTTTTACAAGATAATCGTGAAAAACTGTGATTTTTTATGTTTTTTATGGTTTTCACCATGATAATCAAGTTTGCGCCAATTTTCATTATGATTTTCGTAATCAGCGCACAAAAATAAAAAAAATACGTAAGTACTAATTGAAAAAAACATTGATCGGATCGGGCTATAACTTGCACATAGTTCAGCCCTAGGGGTAAGTACTTTAACCACGAAGTATTATTAGGTTTTTTCAAAAACTGTCGGAGAGGGAAGGGGTAGAATTTTTTTGAAAAATGTAAACAATTGATTTTTGAAGATATAACTTTTAAACAAAAAGATGAAGAAAAATTGACATATATTTTTTTGAAAGGTTTTTTCCTGCTCTTTCAAGTGGTGCAAAAAATTTTTCAAAAAATTCAAAATTTGACCCTTTTTTTAAAATCAAAAAGAATTTTGACTTTTTTTAAGTTCAGTCTTTTTTTATTTATTTTTTTTTGAAAGGTAAAAATTTGTATTTTTACTACAAAAAATATTGAAATGTCCTTTTTTGTTATTTTCAATTAATTAATGTTAATAAAAAATGAAATATGAATAAATGAAATTAACATTCCACTAATCCAAAGTACTTCACATAGGGCTTGTTGGATGCGGAATTACGTCAGCTTTCTATTGGTAGCTTCAGAATTGCAATAACTTTATTTATTTGTAAAATATTTCATTTTTTATTAACATTAATTAATTAATTTATACCTCGAAAATAACAAAAAAGGACATCTTAATATTTTTTGTGGTGAAAATACACATTTTTAGCTTTAAAAAAAATAAAAAAATCGGAGAAGTGCGAGTTACACTCGCATTAAAACCGAGGGTTCCGTACCCTTAAACCTAAAATTTGAGGGGTTTGAAGTTTGAAGGCCTAGATAGAAAACATAGACATAATCATAGACATAAACATAGAACATAATCTACGCATAAATTTGAAAATAATGTGACCACATAGATTTGAAAATAAATTAATAAAACTAAAAAATACTAAAAATATCAACAAATAAAAAATGTCAAAAGATAAAAAAAATAGAAAATGACAAAAAGGGCAAATTATAATGAATGTCAAAACACTACAAATAAATATAGCAAGCACAATTGGAGTTGAAAAAAAATCAGGAATTTGCCCCAAAAAAATGAAGAAAATTTTATCTTTTTGGGGTCAAAAATTGTAAAACTTAAGGAAAATGTCCAATTTTTAAAAAAATTGTATTTTTTGACAAAACTCAATTAAAATAATTGCCTATCATGTTTATTAAATTTTTACTATAATCTGCAAGCAAAAATACGTAACAGTGTATAAATTTGAAACTCTTTAGATAAAATTTTCTGCATTTTTTGGGGAAAAATCATGATTTTTATCGTAAATTATCAGTTTTTTCTTGAAAACGCTATAATAATTAACTCCAATCGTTCTCGCTATATTTTTTTTGTAATCTACATGCAAAAATACGTAAAAGTGTATATATTTGAAACTCTTTAGATAAAATTTTCTTCGGTTTTTGAGGAAAATTCATGATTTTTATCGAAAATTATCAGTTTTTCCTTGAAAAAGCTATGATAATCAACTCGAATCGTTCTCACTATATTTTTTCTGTAATCTACACGAAAAATACGTAGAAAAGTATAAATTTGGATCCCATAGGATAAAATTTTCTTCCTTTTTTATTCGAAAAATCCATGATTTTTTCTAAAAATATGAGTTTTCCTTAAAAACAACATGATCATCAACTCCAATCGTGCTCGCTATATTTTTCCTGTAATCTACATGCAAAAATACGTAAGTATACCAAATATGAACTGTCTTGGTCAAATAGTGTGTGCGCTAGGAGGATTAAACGCTTTTTTCAAAATTTTTTATTTTTCCTTGACAACGCTATGTAAATTGATCCGAATCATGTTCGCTATATTTTTCCTGTAGTTTTCACGTAAAAATACATAAGGGTACCAAACTTGAGCTCTTTATGTAAAAAGATGTGGGAACCAAGGGGTGGGGGTACATAGTCATTTTCAGGGATTTTTCGTAAAAATTCTTGGTTTTTCCTTGACAACGCTATAATTAATTCCTATGAGATTCGCTATATTTTTCCTGTAATCTACACGCCAAAATACATATGTATACCAAATTTCAGCCCTCTAGATAAATTCGTGTGGCCGCTAGCGGGGGGTAGTACATGCCTTGCTTCACTAGTCTCATTAATAGGGTTCCCCTTCGGGTACAGAACCCTAAAAAGATCGAATTAAAAAAAAAAGTTAAAAATATTTTTAATTTTCAAAAAAGGGTCAAATTTTAAATTCTTTAAAAAACATTTTTCACCATTCAAAAGAGCAGGAAAAAACCTTTTGAAGACATGTAGGTAAAATATTTTTTCATCTTTCTGTTTAAAAGTTACAAGTCTTCAAAAATTCACTGCTTAAATTTTTCAAAAAAATTCAATCCCTTCCCTCTCCTACAGTTTTTGAAAAAACCTAATAATACTTCGTGGTTAAAGTACTCGCCCCTAGGGCTAAACTGTGTGCAAGTTACAGCCCGATCCGACAATTTTAATTGAGATTTCTGACCTGTAGGGTGCACGGCGCAAAATCAAAGATGCAACTTCAAACACCTGTAACGCCGCAATTTGGGATATTTTTTAATAAAAAATTTTTTTTTTAAAGCTTATATTGTGTACTTTAAGGTATGCTTTACTTTAATTTATTAAATTTTACCGGTTTTATTTTAAATTCCTGAAAAACGTGCATTTACACGAGTTTCCCCCCTTAATGTCTTATTTATGTTAATTTTTCTCAATTTACTATTTTTGCATAATATTATTTCTTATTGCAGGGAAGCTTTTCAATCGTTTTTGTTGAACTTCCAAAGGTTGGAACTTCTTAAGTGTGATTTTTGAATTTAGTAGGTCTAAATCTATGGAAATCCATTTTGGTTTTACAATACCTTTTTTAGGAAAATTTGGACTGTTTTTTTAGCATTGTTCGTTTAATTTTTTTGGCGCTAATGGAAGGTCAAAAATTCAGGACATTTGGTACTTTTTCAAATTTATCAATAACTGGCTCATATAAAAAAAATTTTTAATAAAAACAAACCATGCAAATTTTTGCGGACACGTTTTTTTTAGTAAAAGATAAAAATTTATTATTTTCTTTGTGAAAATGTAAAATTTATGTATAAAAGTAGGGTACGACACCTTATTTGACTAGTCATTTGAAAAAATAAGCATAATTATCATGAAATGAAAATGACAATTTTCACAAGTTTTGAAAACTTTAACTGTTTGAGTACATTATACGCACTGGCCGAGAAGACTCATTGACAGTTTGGGGAAAGAGTCAAGCGATTATACGCTCACATATGGAAAGAGGCGTTCTGATTAGTCTCGGTCTCCCGGTTGGGGTATTCTATTCAATGTTTATTCTTTCCTAGTTGTGACCGTCAAATTGCTAGACTTTTTTTTCCACTTGGGTCATCTCGATCCGTGCGTCTGATATTTATATCATCAAACAGTTCAACTTTTCAAATTTTGTAAATTGTTACATTAGTGTACATTTCATTTCATGATAATTATACTTATCTTTTCGTATTAATAATCAAATATAGGTAATCATTGTTCACATTGTTGCTTTTAAGATTTTTAAAGTAGGGGAGACCGGGGCTGAAAGTGCCGATTCTGAGAAAACTAACGAAAATGGTAGTAAAATGGCAACTTTTTGTTTTAATTTATAGTCTACCTATTGTAAAATTTAATGTAGTTTTTCAATCCATTATTATTTTTTGATAATTTTGAACAGTTTTTTTGTAAAAAATGATTTTGTGCAGCAAGGCGACGCGACACATCGCACTCCGCGCTGGGGAGAGTTGTGCCGACGCCAGGGTCGGTTGTGCCGCTCAGATTTTTTAGTTGTTTAAGTTAAAGCAAATGATTTTACGCGTAAGAAATAAAATAATTATTGACAGTATATGATTTACTATTATTTGTTATACATTTATTATAAACTTTTAAAGGTTTTTATGAACAATCTTAAGATTTCTTTTTTTTAGTACCACTTTTAGTAGGTACAAATAAACATTTTCTGACTCATATTCTATAATTGCAAAGTTAGTCAGTCACTTAAAATATATTTTTTGTAATAAGTATTTTTATTATAAACATTCAAAGAATTTTTCCAATAATCGTAACATTTATAGATTTTTGTAAATAAATAAACATTTCTGTCTTAAATTTTACAATTACATAATTGGGCAGTCTTTTAAAATATTTTTTGTAATACTTATTTGTATCGTTAATCAACTGTAAAAAACTCTACTTTCTGATTAATAAATAATTTTTAAGACATGAGTACGTATTCCGAATGCGATTTTATGAAATCACAATTCACACACATGTAACTGACCCTTTTTTACCCTTCACACATTTTAAATGTGCCCAGTTTTTGCAAATGATGTATTAAATCCACTTTTCTCTTGATTTCGGGTTGGAATAACTATTGGAACAAACGAGGCAATAGTAGATTATGGTTATGTAGCGATTGACAGCGGCACAACCAGCCCCAAGCGAAATGCACAATTAACCTCGTTGCATCGACGCTCACTTTTTATCAAATATTAAAAAAGTAGATAAATAAAATGTTAAGATCAATATACCATTGAATTCCTCGATAAATTTAGATCATTTTTAAAAAAATATGAATCGATATCTTTAAAAATGCAAAAATAGACCAAAAAGTGTAAACATGAAAACTTGCATGTGAGTGCCGCTAATGCACCAAATTACTAACAGATAATTATTCCGTGAAGCAGACAAAATCAAAATAGTTGCCAAAGATACGCATAAATAAAACAATACTTCTCTCACTTCCACTTTTCAAAAAAAGAATTTTTTGTTTTTGAGATATTCCTATCGGCACAACTTACCCCCGGCACTTTCAACCCCGGTGTCCCCTATATTCCATATCCAACAAATTAATATGTCACTTTTCAAAGTTTTTTTTACAAAATTAAAATGACGGATGTTGTATAAACATAAATCCTTTAGTAACAGAAATAAAATTGATATAAACTATTTACAATATTCAATCTCCAATAATCAATGCAAGTTATCTTTTGTTATAAACTCAATTTCAATGCAAGGACTTTGACAACATGTAAGTTTATGTTGTGCGTATATAATATACATATAGTTTTAATTTTTTCTAGATCTGAAATAGCGTGCAGAATCTTTTTTAATCATAATCCATACATTAAGTGGAATTGATTTTTCAGTTTATTTCCGTTTCAAAGCATTCCTAATTAGTTTTAATTAAAAACAATATTTACGTCTTTAAGTAATATTTCCATACTTTCTTAAATAAAAGTTTAGTACTAATTTTGTTCCTACCCAGATAGCACAGTAGGTTGCTTATCACGACATGCATACTGCAAGTTTTTGTACCATCTAGGTAATTAAGAGAAATCAGAAATCAAACTGTTACGGAAACATAGAAGATTTCTGCAAAAAATTTACCGATACTTATACGATAAAAGAAGTGCATACCGTTACAGGAACAAATTCAAGCTACTGTTTCAAAAAAAGTAACGAGTTTTTCTTCAAATTCGATTCCATTTTGTGGAAAGTCCCTGCTTTAATCCTTTACAAGAATAGTAATTAATGGAAGATCATGATCGATTTTGCACAGCAAGAAAAAGATTATACATGCACTGTAAGCAGTTGATGTGAATCAGAAATTTGACTCGTACTTGGCTGTTGAAGATAGGATGGTTCTTGAAGCCTTGGCTTGATGTAAGGTTTATGAGCACCATCTTCATAACTAAAACTAACAGTATTATTTCTAATTTCTGCACTAGGTGGTTTATATAAAGGTGGCAGTCGATGTCTACTGTCTTCTGTGATCATTTCAAGGCTTTCTTCACCGGATCCTATAGTTCCTAAGGAAACTCCAGATAAGGGTCTTACAACTGAAACTCTAGGTTCAACAATATCTTGCTCTTTTAAGGGATTCGCGTACCTCCTAAGATTCTCTTCATTTTGTAAATTATTTGACTTCTCATCTAAATCACTTCTATTTCTATGGAGAGAAGTTTCACTGCTTGTCGTTGCAGTTACTCCTGATCTCTGATTCATTGACCTAAGATACCAAAGTCCTCCAAAAATAAAAAGAACAAGAATTGTTGCTAAAGCTCCACCAAATACCGCTAGAAACCCATTACCACTTGCTGTAGTAGAAGGAAGTTCACTAAGTGAAGATGTCTCGACTTTGACTTCCAAAACGGAAGCCAACGCGAGTACTCTGCTTAAAGGTCTACTCAGCGATTCACCTAGATCCCTAGCAGCGGCTACTGCCGCTTCAGAGAAAATTGTTACTTCTATCGTGTCATTTTCTCCTGTTCTCAAGTCGCAGAGGAGCACTACTGATTGTGGTCTTCTAGGATCAGCTAGTATTCTTCTCAGTTTACGACAAATCAATTCTACTGAGGTCCCCGCTATTAATGTCTCTCTTCTAAGTAAAATCGTCAGTCTTGAACAAGTCGGACCCGTGATGGCTTGTCCAGGCCAACATGAAGGAGGTGCTGGAAGAGCTGGGGGCCCAACTCTTTTTCCACTTTCAGTAGGACGGCACTCAGCCCATGCAGGGCAATTCGGAGCTAGACAACTTTCTCCTGGCGAAGGAACGCAGACTTCATGAGCCAAACACGAAGTTCCATTTAGGCAGTTATCAGGCCCACACCAGACATTGCTGCATTGATTTTTGCCATTTCTGCATTCACAAATATTGCACTCGTCATCCCAAATGGCAGCAATACACCTTGGTCCTCCAGATGTTTGAATTTCACAGTGTGACCCGGTTCGACCTGCAGGACAAATGCAAGAATAACTAGCGATTTTATCGACGCAGGTTGCACCACCCATGCAAGGATCACTGGCACATTCATTGACATTTATTCTGCAATCGGGTCCCGTGAAACCTGGAGCGCACTCACACCTAAACCAGTTAACTCCATCCACACAGCGTCCTCCATTCAAACAAGGAAATGGCTGGCAATCATCGACGTCTCTTCTGCACTTGGGGCCTTCATATCCTTCTCGACAAATACATCGGTAGCCTCCATCAGCACTATTAACACATGTAGCTCCATTTTCACAAGGATTGCTTGCACAAGCTGGAGATGCTATATGACAAACTGCGCCTTCCCAACCCAGAGGGCAATCACAAGAAAACCCATCTCCGTGGTCCCGACATACTCCTCCATGGCGACACGTTTCCGGTTCGCAATGACCCGCTTGTAGGGCGCAGGTCTTCCCCTTCCAACCATCGTGACAGATGCAAGTAAAGTCTGCTACTCCATCGACGCAGGTTCCATTGTTTCGGCAGGGGGAATTTATGCACTCGTTGACATCTGAAATTATAGGGTTAACCACATTTATTTGAATTATTTAGTAAGTTAAAGTTTTTCTTTTTTTGCATTAAGAGGTTAAAATCACATCTTTTTTCAAGAAAATCGATTTTTAAAAACTGCATATTCTTGTAATAGATATATGTAGAAATGCTACAAAAACTATTATTTTGGTTAGAAACTTCGGTAACATAACGCATTTGATTTTGTTTTTTAAAAAAAAACATATTAAGAGAAATGTACAATATTATTAGTCAAGGTAAACGACTAATACTTAATTAATTAATTCTTACACATAGCATTATTTAAACAACCCTTAATTAACAAATACATAGTATCGCTACTTTTACATGTTTCAGGTTTGGGTTTGCTTTAAGTTTTTTTAAAGATAATCTATTTTTATAATATTTAACAAAATCAATAATTAATTAAATAATTTTAATAACATTTTTATATAAACAAAATATTTTTTTGTTATTTTTACCCACTCTCTTTTTTCAGCTCTTTTCTTTATTTTTAAATTATTTTTCTCACATTTTTATTTAATGTAAATACTAGCAATATTAAAACTAATGTTAGTTAACAAATTTACAATACTGTCAGCCATTGTAAATTATATTTATATACGGGGCACAATTCCTGTAGCGTACTAAGTGAAAAAAAAGTTTAGACTTATGGATGAGTTTTTTAACCACGAAGTATTGTTAAAATAATTTACAATGTCTGATAGATGTCTGCTAGCAACAATTTTGTAAATTTGTTAACTAATATTAGTTTCAATATTGCTAGTATTTACATTAAATAAAAATATGAGAAAAATAATTAAAAAATAAAGAAAAGAGCTGTAAAGAGACTGGGTAAAAATAACAAAAAAATAATTTGTTTATATAAAATTGTTATGAAAAATATACAAATTGTTTAATTAATTATTGATTTTGTTAAATATTATAAAAATACATTATCTTTAAAAAAAACTTAAAGCAAACTTAAATCTAAAACATGTAAAAGCAGCGGTACTATGTATTTGTTAATTAAGGGTTGTTTAAACAATGCTATGTGTAAAAATTAATTAAAGTAAGTATTAGTCGTTTACCTTGACTAATAATATTACACATTTCTCTCAATATGTCATTAATTTCGTAATAAGAAACTAAAATCATTAAAATTGTTTAAACAATTGAAAAAACTTTTTTTTAAAACAAACTCAAAGGCGTTATGCAGAATTATATCATCTTTAAAATAAGACCAAGAACGTCAAAATCGGTTGAAGTTTGTAGGCTCTATGTTAAATTGTCCATGGCCGACTTTGTAGCGTAGCGCGCGTAAAGCTTTTACGCAATTTTTAAAAATTCATTTAAAGTTATTTGACTCATCAGGCCTCGTTTCGTCTCTTTTTGCAAAATCTTCTCTATATTTTCAGGCATGAATAAATCATAAAAAATCAAATTTTAATTGGGCCCAAATTAAAAAAAAATTAATTTGTTTTTCATTAAAAAGTTAAAAAAATTTTTTCTTAAATTTCTTCAAAGTTGAAGAAAAATCAAAACTTTTATTCTGTGGCAAAATTTTGCCAAATTCAATATTTTTAGAGATATAAGCCATTAAAAAAAGGTCTACTTTCGCAAAGCCAAAATTTCAAAAATTCATAACTGAAAAATGTGGACGATTTTTCAAAAATAAAAAAATACATATTTCATGTTTTTTTTCAAATAAATAAGAAAAAAATATATTTACCAGAATTTTAAACCTAGACTATAAATCTTACGTGGAATCGACCATATATACCTATATATATATATATATATATATATATATATATATATCAAAGTACACATATGTGACGCTTCACGAGAGAAGGGACCTATCCCCGAAATAACATTAGGCTCAGTTTTCCGTGCACCGTACATGAAAACTAAGCCTAATATTATTTCGGAGATAGGTCCCTTCTCTCGTGGAGCGTCACATATATGTATATAAATATGTATATAAAAGCATATATACATGTATATAATGTATCCTGTCGCGTAAGGGGGTATTTTCTTAAAAAAGGACATCATAAAAAAAACTATTGCACCGATTAAGCTCAAATTTTTATGGCTTATTCTACACATATACCGCTACCCAGGTGCGAGTTGGCGGTCGGCCCCAAGTTGGGCCAACCATGTGCTCAGTCGGCCCACCTTGGGCAGCCAGGTGACGAGCCAACTAGCGAAGTGATAATGTCAACCGACCTATGGTCGACTCAGTTGGCCCAACTATGGCTGCCAAAGGTTGGTCGACCTTGGCATTAAAATTTTTGCCGACCAATAAAAAATAAAATATAAAAATTTGTTATACGAATAACAGATATTAATAATTATTCTAAATTCATCATACAATTATTTTAGGTATTTAAACACTAAACGCAATCTTATACATACATACATTTTAAAAATATTTATCGCTCGCAAGGATCGAACCCGCAACCTAACGCACCGAAATCTAACACGCTATCCATTACCCTACACTTACATGAGAGTCTGAGGAAAAATTAGTCTCATAAGATGCATCTTCAAAGAAATTTAGCCTACCGTCGGCCCGACTTGAGCCGACCATTAAGAAGTGAATTTCTTAATGTTTTGGCTGCCACAGTTTTATTAATCACCAACTAGGGCTGCCGACCGTCGTGCCCGATGGTTGGCCCAACTATGGCAGACACAGTTGGCCTGACTATGGCTGCCGACCGTCGTCTCCAACGGTTGGCCCAACTATGGCTGCCCAAGTCATGCAGACCATTATCCCCCGCAGTCGGCCCAACTATGGGAACCATGGTTGGCCCAACTAGGGCTGCCGATGTTGGCAGCCACAGTCGGGCCACCTTTGGGTGACAATATTTACCATGGTCGACCGACTCTCATGCAGCCCTAGTTGGTCCAACCGTGGGCCGACCAACCATCTCTGACGGCCGACCGAATTTCGCACCTGGGTATCGTCGAAAATAGAATCATAATTTTTCATTAATATTTAACCATTTTTTAAAACAATTTAAGTTGAAAGAACAAGGTCAAAAATGAAAGAAGTCATCCATTTTGTTTTTTTTTATCGAAAATAGTTGATTGTATTTCCAACAATAACAACGAGCTTACTTTTCAAGAAAATATCAAAAATTTTATTTTTCGATGTCCTGAATTGGAGATATTGTGTCCGTCAATCACAAGTAGTGGTATTTTCAGGCGGCCATGACAGCAAGATAATCCATAATAAATAAGTAATAAATTTTTTTTTAATAGTTTAAAACCCCTTCTTTTAGGTATAAAAAGTTTCAAATAAATAAAATAAATTTTGTAATAAAAAAATTATTTATGAAAAGTCACTGAGATATGGTACTAACCCCTTAATTAATAGTTGTGGAGAGGAACTATTAAATTTATACTAACTTGTAAATGCAAAACAAAGATATGCGTTAACAGCAGGTTGTTGTGTACGTGCATTCGTATTGTAAGAAAAAGTTTTAGAAAATTGTTTTTTTGATTAATTAAATTATTATTACTCTTTCGCGCTTTTTTAAAAAAACACTATCTGTCGGATGTAGACAGTATGTTTTTTAAAAAGCATGTCAGCACATCTATTATACATGTGGCTACTAAATTCCAATCAACGACGAACTGAGCAGTAAAGTGTTATGATCTGAGCAAAAATTCGAGAAGCAAACTGATTCACTTAAAACTCGTTTTTTGAGAGATTTTGAGGTTGCTGGTTACGAAAATGATGTCAAATTATAAACATTCAAAATATCGGATCCAATTTGGCAGACAAATTTTTTTTTAATTTTTACGTAACTTGGTATCTAGGGGTTTTCGGGGTCGCTGATTACAAATCTGAAGTCAGATTTTGAAAATATAAAAGGCGGGTCCAATATGGCGGAAATTTTTTTTTTGAATTTTCAAAATCTGATTTCTGATTTATAATCAGCACTCTAACCAAGATAGAACTTACTCCTACCGTGTCCCCAAATTTTTGTTCCCCTCTTCACTGTACACTTTGAACGTGGTTAATACTCCTGGTATTCAGGCTTCTTGCCCCAGATATCAAGTTACGTGAAAAATAAAAAAAAATTTAATTCGCCTGTCATATTTGATACGCCATTTTAAATTTTGAAAATTTGACTTCATATTCCTAATCAGTGACTCCAAAAACCTCTAAAGATCGAGTTTTAAGTAAATCCAACTCATTTTTAAAAAAATTTTATGTTACATAAAATGTGTCACGGTTTTTGAGGTTAGAAAAAATTCTGACGTGATGAAGCAAATATGACCTCAGATTCGAGTTCAGCGCACTAAAATACATGGGAATAGGGTACTAGAGTCAGACGAACATGACACTAAAGTAATAAAGTATAACTAAAGTATCATCAATTTTGCCAATTGTGAGACTTCCAATGTATGAAAGTTGCCACATTAGTTTGGAAAATTGAGAAATATAAAGAAATCATAAAGGTCATTCAGGTGGTTGAACCGATCACGCCACTAATAAAATGCAAGATTGATAAAAATTGAATGGAAACAAGGAGATGTTGATTGAAAAATCAACCCTCTCACTACTTAAAATTACTTACAAACAAGGTGTGATCGTTGCCACCAAATTATTGTTCGAAGAGTTCTAATTTATATTTGCCGTAAGGTGGATCCCACATAGCACGACTTCTTGCTGTGAGGTTACTGTAAGGATATCTGTAGGGTTTGTAAGGTTACCGTGTAAGCCTGTAGTAAACTTGAGGTAATCTTAAAACTTCTGCCTTACAGTAAGCTTACACAGTAAGGTTGTGGTAAGCTTACACGGTAAGGTTGTTGTAAGCTTCCCGTAAGGTTACTGTAAGGTTGCCGCCATATTGGATACACTGTTTTAAATTTTGAAAAACTAACAGCAGTTTCGTAATCCGCGGCCTCAAGAACTCTCAAGTAATAAGTTTTAAGCTAATCCGATGAATTTTAAAAAAATCTTCCGCTATATTGGATCTGCCATTT